CCAACTAAGCCGCCCAGGCGCCCCTGGGGACTTTCTAAGCGGGGTGATATGATCTGTTTATACTTGTAAAATCTCATTTGGGAGAGGGGAGGGGACAAGGCGGAAGCAAGGAGGCCACGTAGGGGACAGGTTCTTGCACTTGTCCACACAAGATAGTAGCTCGGACTAGATTACATGTTTCTTAACCTCAGCACTGTTGACATTTGGGGCCAGAAAATTCTTTGGTTTGGGGGCGGGGGGCTGCTCTCTGCGCCATAAGGTGTTTAGAGGCATCTCTGGCCTCCAGCCACTGGAGGACAGCGTTATCCTCCCACCTCCAGTGTGACAACCAAATATGTCTCCAGATATTACCAGATGCCCCCTGGGGGCAGAGCCACCCTGGTCATGAATCAGCGGGCTTGACGTTGGCAGTAGAGGTGGGTTTAACAGACAGTACCTCTCCGCAGCTGCGATGTAGGGCAGGGTGAGACTCAACGGTGCTCCCCAGGTGTTTGGTTCGAAATCCAGGCAGATGGTGTCCCATTACTAGAGACGCTCGACATTGGTCTCTCTTGCCCTTGTGCCTGCTCTCGGAACTACCCAACCGCCTGTGATGTCTCCCACCCTCCCACTCTCCACCGTGTCCTACCTCCCCTCCCGAAGGTCCAGCTTGGATGCCGTCTTGTCGAAGTCTTCTCCCATCAGTCCACCATTGGTGATCCTTTTTCCAGTGAACTTCTGCAGCCCCGTATCAGTCCCAGTCCTAGACACTTTCTGGCCCTGCCAGCTTCTGTCAACCCCCAGGAAGGAAGGACCAGGTCCTAACGAAAGGAGCAGACTTAGCAGATGCTTGCGTGACACGGCTTTGCGCCTCGCCCCTCCCCTCGGCTCCCCCTGGGGGCTGTAGGACTGTCACCTCCCTCTGGTACTCCTCTAGCCGGATTCTGAGCCCCAGACCATCTTCTCAGGTTGCTCTCTCATCTGCTCAGGTTGTCTGGAGCTTGTCCTGGATTTGGGACTCCTTTTATATGTGTTAGAGTTACTGACGTGTGTCTGTCACCGCCCTGCCCAGTAAAGTCCCCGACAGCAGGAACGAGACCTTACATACCTTCATCCTGTACTCGGCCTGGCACGCAGCCAGGTGCTGGTCGGGAATTAGGTATTCAGTAAGGGTTTGTTGGATGAAGAAGTGAACGTTGATTTTTTTTTTTTTTTTTTACTCTTGAGTATAATGGACTTAAAGGAAAATTAGCATTTTTCTACTAATGAACGTATATAATGTTTTTTTTTAATTTTTATTTTTCCAACGTTTTTATTTATTTTTGGGACAGAGAGAGACAGAGCATGAACGGGGGAGGGGCAGAGAGAGAGGGAGACACAGAATCGGAAACAGGCTCCAGGCTCCGAGCCATCAGCCCAGAGCCTGACGCGGGGCTCGAACTCACAGACTGCGAGATCGTGACCTGGCTGAAGTCGGACGCTTAACCGACTGCGCCACCCAGGCGCCCCTATAATGTTTATAATCAGAAAAAAATTTTAATTTTTTTAATGAGAGAGGATTCGTCCACAGTTGGTGTCGCTGATGAAATGGATTGGTGTGTGTGGAAGAGGGCTTGTTTTTGGGCTTTAACGTAAGTCCCGAGTCTGCATCGGTGATGAGTCTGCTCTGTTTCTGTATTGCAGCTCTCGTCGTCAGCACCACCTCGGCTGGATTTGCGCTGGCCCCGGGACCTTTTGACCTGCCGTGTTTCCTGCTTACTTTTGTGGGAACGGGCCTTGCATCCTGTGCTGCCAACTCCATCAATCAGGTCAGTCGGTCACTTTTCAGCGCGATTATGGTGATGTGACTTTCTCCCAGACGGTGGTATTGTCACGCGTTTATAAATGACTTCAAGACCACGTATAGAGATGGAGAGGTCCCGGGAGCTTGTGACACCACGTATCCTGTGGAGGTCTGTGGGTGACACAGCCTGTCTGTCTCTTCTGCGGTGAACGGTTTTCAGGTGTTTCGGGTGAGAGAGCAGCCATGTATCGGCTTCAAACGGCCAGGCGCCCTTGGGTTGGAACGGGTTTCGAGCTGTTTGCTCGGCTTTCTGCTCTCCTGCATTTCAGGCACCTTCCCCCGAGCTTATCATTGTATGTGTTCTTCTTTCTTTGGTTTGATTTGTCTGCATTTGTTTACATACACAACATTGTGTTTTATATTTTATTTTATTTATTTTTTGAAGTTTACCTATTTATTTTGAGAGAGACTGAGACAGCGCAAGTGGGGCAGGGGCAGAGAGAGAGGGAGGGAGGGAGAGAGAGTGAGAGAGAGAGAGAAAGGAAGGAAGGAAGGGAGG